AATTTCAATCTTCGATCTTCAATCTCAATCTTCAATGCGTAGTCTGATATGGACTTTAAGCCCGTATCAGACTACGCATTGATAATTGAAGATTGAAGATTAAAGATTGAAATTTGACTAATCAGAACAAAAGGGACTAAAATTTCTTTATTCTGATTGGTCAAATTTCAATCTTTAATCTTCAATCTTCAATTATCAATGCGTAGTCTGATACGGGCTTTCTGTTGCTCCTGCACACAGGACGCGGAATTGGAAACGCTTGCCGCGCGGCAAAAGGCGATACGGTACCACGAGCTGCGTTCCGAATCTTCCGTTATTACTGCCAGTATTGAAAATTTATATTGTATATACGTGACGTAAACTATACATTTTCAGACTGGCAGCTACGGTAGCCAATCGACTTACAACTTTTCCATAAGACCGAAAGATTGATTGGCTACTGCGTCGCCTTTTGCCGCGCGGCAAGCGTTGCCATTCGTTGCGTTCTGTGTCATATGGCTCATGGCTCCCTGCTAGCCTGTTAGCTGCTATCAGGTGCTATAGCTAGCTCTCTAGCTTCATCTAGATCCGCTCGCTTCCCACTTCCATAGACAAACGCGCGCTCGCTGTAGAAAGAGAGATACTACATGGGAGGCCTATTTTGTCTCTTTTCCTAGCATCTCATTGATGATTTTGTCCCCCTCCATATAAAAAATCACCAATGAGATGCTAGGAAAAGAGACAAACATAGGCCTCTCCAGAGAGAATCAAGGCAGATTGGAGCGAATTCACCGGAAGTCTGTCATTTTTAGGTAATATTTTGGTAAGAGTGGGATATCTATGACACACAAACACTCACAATTATCGTCACAAAACTTCAATATATGTATGTAGATATATATACATATATGAGTTACCTATAAATGGCGGAACCAATCAGAGTAGAGAACAGTATTCGCTTCACTCTGTCTTGATTCTCTCTGGGCCTCCCATATAGTAGCTCTCTTTCTACAGCGGGTGCGCGTTTGTCTATCTCGCAATGCTCAATACAGTCTGTATATCTATGGCTTTTACAAAGGGATGGCGATGGCTTCCCTAAAGCCCGTATCAGACTACGCATTGAAAATTGAAGATTGAAGATTAAAGATTGGATTTTGACTAATCAGAACAAAAAGAACTGAAATTTCTTTGTCCTGATTGGTCAAATTTCAATCTGTCTGATACGGGCATAAAGCACGTATCAGACTACGTATTGAAGATTGAAATTTGACCAATCAGGATAAAAGGAACTAAAATTTCCTTGTCCTGATTGGTCAAATTTCAATCTCGATGCATAGTCTGATACGGGCTTAACAACAGTTTCGGAATGTAATCTTGATAAAGAAAGTTTAATATCTTTTGTCTTTTGATTAGAATGAGACTAATGCGCAAGCGCAATGCCCGATAAGAGTAATTTCTTCTAATCTAATGTAAGAGTAATTTTTTTTTTATATGGCAAACAGTAAAAGATGGTTTTAATATTGTATATCAAGTAAATTAGTTGCATTCAACATAAAACTTGAGAACATTGTTTTGTATATATTATAAAATTGATTACGGAATGAAGAATTGTTAAAAATATATAGATAACAGATAACATTTATTGATGAATAGGAATATAAATACAATTGCCAGAATGCTGTAAGCCAGCTAAACTATGATTATGCGAACAAGTAATTGAAATTTATGGATATCATAATTGATAATTTGCATACTCTTAACGATTATAATTAAATATTTTGCACATTTCTAAATATAATGTTTATTGCACATGTTGACGTCTACGAGCAGCTCTCTGTTTATCGAAACGTAACTCCATTTCTTCTAAAACACGTGGAGTGTACCGCACTACCAATTTTACAGAATTTTGTGCCTGTTTTAATAATTCTACTGCCTTTTCATGATTTTCTCCTTCAACGCACTAAAACAAATGTTATCTCTTTATTGTAAAAAATCTTATTTCCAATGTTCAAAAGAAAAAAAAAAGCCAAAATTTTACTAACCACTCCATTAACGGACAAAAGTTGATCTCCACGTTTTAAGCCACCGTGTCTGTCGGCGACACCACCGGGAATAATGCGAGATATATAAATCGGCGAATTCTGTTCTTTACCTCCCATTACATTAAAACCAAGTCCTTCTTCTGTTTTCGGTAATTCCACCACACGTGGATGAGCATGACCCTCACTGGCTGCAAAAGCAGCAACAGTCGCTTTTGCCGTCGCGGATGCACGTACATCTTGTGAACCCTTTGACAAAATAGTTCTCAACGTTTGTAATTATAACTATCGATAAGAAATCTGTCAATTTGAAACAACAGTAATTATACCTGAATATCAACAGTTTCATATACATGTTCGTATACTTCTCGCACTGCACTAAGAAAATCGCTTTGTAATACTTTCTGTAATGCAGCCAATTTTGTCGTAGGAACTTCACCTCCTAAATATAAAATATTATAAAACCAAATCGACATCGATGGATACATGAAAAAATGCTTTATTGTATATTCAAATTGCTCACCTTTCTGTAATTTATCTAGTAATTCTATAGATCTTTTGACGTCTATGAAAAAAAAGATAAAATATTGCAATAATTTATCAAAAATATCATCTAATTTATTTGCGTTAATTGAGACTGATCAAAACTTACCTCTTGCTAAAGTAAGAGGCTCGCCCATGGTTGCCATACTTTTTGATTATTACGCAAAATTTGTGATTTTGTTCCCCAATTATACCTCGATGCGTATAAATGTACCGAGCGAAAATATTCTAACGCAATGTATTTACTTGCGACTGCAAAATTCTATCCGAATAGCGTTGAACACTTTTGATCAAAAATGGTCGGGAATGGATCAATGTTTGTTTTCACTCTCTCTCAAATCAAGTTTAAGGGTCTATCTCCAAACAAACTTGCATCAGGTACTGTTTTTCCTACTAGACGCGTGATTGGTTGATTTTTCTCTGAATTATGCGTTATTTGTACTAGTTTCTCTGAATAGAGCCTAATATATTGATGTGTCGCAACTTGCATATATATCGTATCTAGACATTCGTGCATTTATGATTGTTGATTAAAAAAAATTTCGAATTGTACAAAATGATTCATAAAATGCAATACTACTTCAGGGCTTTAGGGGATGAATGTATGTAAACATTAAACGTGTAAAAAATGGTATTTGAATATATCGATCATTTGACTCTTATTAATTTCTCTGTATATATTTTTTTTAAATAAGAGAAATTATAATAATGTATTATATTTAATACATCTTATGTGTTTTGTTATGCGAGAATTCACCTGAATGAGTCCTTTCGTCCATGGCAGTATATGCCAATTATATCAAAAATAATATAAATCATTTATTTAAGGACGCGTGTTAATTTAAAAAATCTGACAGTTTTTATACATCATATAGGAAAATGTTTTGGAATATTTTTTATTATTTTGTACGATGTTTGCGTCTAGCAGAATCTTATACTTACTGATATTTTCATGATATGTAAGAATTAAACAGAAGAGTAAACATGGTGATAAATTCGTATGTGATAAGACATTATATATACAAGCACACACACACGTATGTACATTTATTTATGCAAAGATTGCTAGATTTTTTTTATTAATGCATTTTAGATAATAAATTTATTATTTCTAATTCAGATAGCACATGTATGTGTGCGCGCGCACGCGCACGTGTGCGTGTGTGTATATATATAACTTTTATATTATATAATTATATCTGCGAGAGAGACAAAAATTTTGAAATTTATAAATAGTACAGTTTTTGTTTTCTTAAAGAGAAAGAATAAAGATAAATAACCCGCCGGATAGTTTGACGGATATATGAACATATATTGCTCGTATATAATTTAAAAAAAAAACGCATTTTTAAAATATAGAAAAATTATTCTAATTTGAAAATTTGTTATACACACACGTATACACATATTTTTAAAGATATTAAAATGTTTTTATGTGAATTACATCACAGAACGTATGAGATAATTGCTAATTATCAAGTCTCGATATATGGAAAGTTTGAAGTACAAATAAGTCAAACGAAGTAACAAAACTTTTATATATTTATCAAGTTTGTAATTCACTACAGAAATTATTTAGAAAAATCCTTGTAATTAATTAATATTTATTTCTTTTATTTATTCTACCCAAATTAATTAATATTATTAATAAAATATTTCTTTTCTTTATAATTAGTGGAACACTGGCGAATAAAAAATTTGATCCTTTCATATTTTAAAAGGAATTCAAATGTATGATATTGTTTATTTGTACTTTGCGACTTAAGTTTTGTATCGATGCAATTACTTATTGGATAACATTAAATTACCACCCAGCCGAAAATATAGATCAATTAAATTGTAACACTATATAAGTACTTCTAATCTATAAACTGGAGATCATGACTTTACAATAAAATTTCTTTGCAGATGATGTTTCGATCGCGATTTATCTGCTACAAATTGTCATCAGAGATTGTAAAAGAGATGAGAGAAATAAATGATGTCTAATTGCATCATTAAATGACACCGATATATTGAAAATTACATTGCTCTTTATTTCGGTTAAAGGAAGTAAAATCTCATTTCAATGGAATTGGATGAAGAAAATGGATGGCTCGAATAGCAAACTTATATGTAATGGAAAAAACGATATTTGCATAAAAATATGCTTATCAAGGTAATAAAATATATAGTTATCAAAGTAATAAAATAAGAAAGGAAAAGAAATTGACGAGAATGAAGACATTATGCGAAACTCTAATCCTGTAACTGATGATGCAATTTAATCTTGCTTTCGCGCCGGAGGAATTATTATCGTCGCTTTAATTTAACCTTCGATTAACTTCGACGGATCTGAATCCGAAATAGCAGGGGGTATCGCACGTAGATATTTTACACGGCGATGGGTCAATGGGTCGCTGCTGATAATGTCTTTGTTCGATTACGATTTTGTATAAAAGACTCGCATCGCTCAGCATGCGGCAGACGGCATTGACAGCATCATCATAATGAAGTGCACGATCGTTCTACTGGCTCTGGCAGCTTTTGGGGCGGCCTTTCCCCAACAGCAGCAGAAACAACGTGCTGGTAAGTAATAATTATTATTTTACTTTCGTGTTTTCTTTCTCTCTGTTTCTCTCTTATTTTTCGTTCAAGCGACTATGTGATTCGAAATACTCTTTCAAATATTACTGCTAATGTTATTGCTTTATTAATGTTATTCTCTTAATTGAATAATTTATACTATTATAATAAGCTTTATAGATACTTGTCTAACATAAAAAAATGGCATATCTTAAATGTCGACATCATCTACACAGAATGTAATTTGAAAAATGATGCAGCCAATCATTTCTCTGTTCTTTTTTAGCTGATCAAGGTCTTCTGACGAAGCAGCAAGACGTTATACTGCTATTACAACAGATCACCCAAGAAATCCCGAACGAACAGCTACAAATCCTTGGTACCACCTACGATATCCAAAACCATTTGCAACAATATGACAATCCGATCCTTGTCAAGTACTATGTGGGCGCTGTACAGGCCGGTCTGGTACAACCGAGAAGCACCGCTTATTCAAGCTCTATCAGCCAGCTTCGTAAGGAGGTCGCTCTTTTGCAAAGAATTTTATTAAGTGCTAGAAATTATCAGACATTTTTGGCAACCGCCGCTTGGGCCCGCGTCCACGTTAACCAAGAACAATTCGTCAAGGCTTTCATCGGGGCCGTTCTACAGCACCAGGAGACACAGGGTGTCATTCTGCCGCCTTTCTACGAAATTATTCCCCAATCCTATTTCGACGCTAGAATAATCCAACAAGTCCAAAATGTCGTTGCACAAAGCGACGAACAAAGCCCTGTTTTTATTCCCGTTAATTATACCGCCAATTTGCCCAATGGAGAACATCAGCTTTCCTATTTCACGCAAGACATCGGCCTTGCCAACTATTACGCCTTCGTGAATCTCGCTGGATATTTGCAGCAGGTACGCATGTTTTAAATATTGCAATATTTCGAACAAATATTGTTCGAAATTTTTGCTTGCATAAAAAAAGAGAAAAATGTATTAGTCTCCCTGATATTTCTACTCGCGCATGCTCATTGACATTTTTGAACATAATAATATATAAATTATAAATCTAATTTTAGAATGTACAACAGCAACCGCCGGTGCAGCATCAAAGTGTTCAGAATCAGGAAAGTCAAATTGGTCAGGGAGCTCTTTACTATTATCTTCATCAACAACTGCTGGCTCATTACGAGCTGAACCGTCTCGCAAACGGACTTGGTCCGATTCAAAATACCGATTACATCAATGTACAAGCACCGTATCAACCGCATCTCCGACACACAAATGGACTCGAATTTCCCGCACGCCCTTCGAATCTTCAGTTCAACCCTGTCAAGAATAATCTTATCAACACTGTCAAGAAAATCGAACAAAGACTGATCGAAGCTATTGATTCTGGGCATGTCATCACTCCGCAAGGTGCTTTCCTCTCCCTCTACCAGCCGCAAGGTTTGAACATTCTTGGGGAACTTATCCAAGGAACTGGCAAGAGCGTTAACCCAAGGTTAATCTTCTATTCGATTAATCGCTCGACCATATCTGATAATATCATGTGATACTTACAATGATATATTTTTTACTACAGGTACTATGGCAGTCTTCAAGCGGCCGCGCGTCAACTCCTCGGTAACGCTCCTGAAGTACAGAATATCTACGATTATACTCCTTCTGTTCTGGAATCGGGAAGTACCGCCGTTCGTGACCCAGCTTTCTACCAACTTTACAGAAAAGTCATCCAATTGTTCCAGCAGTATCAAAACTCTCTGCCCGCATATCAGTACAATGATGTTATTTTGCCCGGCGTTAGCATCCAGAACGTTCAGATTAGCCCACTTGTAACTCTCTTCAACGATTATTACGTTGATCTCGATAGCGCAACCGTTCAACAACAAGTTGGTCAACAGAAACAAGTCCAGCAGCAGCAGCAGCAACAAGTCCAGCATTCACAGCAGCATCAACAAGTCCAGCAGCAGCAGCAACAAGTCCAGCAGCAACAGCAGCAGCAACAGCAACAGCAACAAATCAAAGCACATGTAAACAGATTAGATCATAAGCCATACGAATATCAGATCACCGTCCAGAGCGAGCAAAACATCCTCGATGCCGTCGTCCGCGTCTACCTTGGACCGAAATATGACTATGAGGGCAATCCCATCAGCATTTCTCAACACAGACAGCAATTCGTCGAACTCGATCAATTTACAACCAACCGTATGTTTCCGTTTCCAAAGTTATGAATGGTCTACTTTCTTAACTAAACAGTTTAAAACTTTCTCTTCATTTTACAGTTCAGCAAGGACAGAACGTCATTGTTAGGCAGTCCCAGCAGGCGCCAGGTCAGAGCTTTGATTACCCATCCGTTCAGGAAATCAAGCAGAGCGTCAACAATGCTGTCCACGCCCAGGAACCGTTTTACATCACCGAGGTAATTATATTCACAAACCGTAATTATATTGATAAGCGACACGAGATTAAACATTAATGTTTTTTCAGCCGCATCAGATCTTTGGTTTCCCCGCTAGATTAGCTCTTCCTAAAGGTCAACAGGGTCAAGGATTCCCAGTTCAGTTGTTGGTTGTGATTTCTCAATCAGGACAACAAAGCCTGCCTTATGGACCAGTAATCCCGGAACAATACCAAACATACCAACAAAATGAATATCAAGTAGTTGACAATGAGGAATACTTTCAGCAGATTCAACATCAAGGTAACAATGGATTCGGTCTGAAGCAAAGTGTGGAAGTTGTACCTGAAATTGGTCAGCAAGTAAATCAAGGTACATTATCGATGCCACAAAGACGAAACTGTTCATTATTGAGTAGCGTCAAAAGAATGAGTCATTTCTTCTTTGCAGGCGTAAGGGACCATTATGCTAATTTCTACACCCAACAACGTGGACAATATCCGTACACGCATACCCAACATCAAGTCGGCCAGGGACAAGTACAGGGACAGAATGTCTACGGTGTACAAAGCCAGTGGCTATATGGACAGCAGGGACAATTGAGGCAGCTAGGACAACAGTTCCAAAACATTCACGGACAGCAGGGACAATCGAGCCAGCAAGGACAACAGGTACAAAACGTCCAAGGACAGCAAGGACAGCAAGGACATCTGGGACAGCTAGGACAACAGGTCCAAAACACCCAAGGACAGCAGGGACAACAGGCCCAAAACACCCAAGGACAACAGCAATGGAATCAATTGCAAGATATCGATCAAGGACAACAGTATCAAAATACGGTCGGAGTCGTAGGAGTCCAACATGTGCTAACTGCTTGTGTACAAGATACACAACAAAGCACCCAAAGCATACAAGGTGTACAAGGATTCCAAACTTTGCAAGGTTTGCAAGGTGTACAAAATGTGCAAGGAACACAAGGTAACGTTGTTGGTGGCATTCAGTCTGGAATTCAGGACAGATACCAAACTACTTACCAAGGACAGAGCCAACAGCAACAAGGACTCGCTGTAGGATATACCGGTAGCGGACAATACCACGCTGGTGGCTTCCAAAATATCTTCAGTCAGGGACAAAAGATACAAGACAGTTATGCCAGCAATTACTACCAGAATAAGCCCATCTCCCAAATCATTGGTGGCGCTATTTCTCTGGACGGTAGACCTCTCGGCTATCCGTTGGACAGACCATTGAGCACTGGTGCCCTTTCCGTGCCTAATGTCCATGTACAAACCGTCTATATTTATCATGAAGGCCAATCCACCAACGAAATGTACTATCAGTGAAATGTTCCTATAAATCAGACTTAATAGATGCGACATCGCCAGATGTAATAATAATGTTTAAGCAAGAACCGTTTTTTTATTTTTTCATTCAATGTCAAAAAAAGATTTATTGATATAGCAAATGCAATTAATAAATTGCCCTAAAACGCAGATATTTAAATATTTACTTGTAACACAACTCTCTCTCTCTCTCTCTCCCCCTCCCTCCCTCCCTCCCCCTCTCTCTCTCTCTCTCGCTCTTATGCACTTCCTTACATTTCCTACCAATTTTATACATATAAGTAAGGATTAATTAATGATAAAATAAAATAATCTCTTTTTCCGAAAAATATTATTTTATTAAGAAAGTTTTGCCTTTTTAGCGATTGGACAATCCATTGTCGTTCTAATTCTGCACGATCATTCTCCAGTCATCATCTCCATAAATTCTGCAAATGGATTAAATATCACAAGACAAACGACAAATTATTAATAATCCCTGTTCTATTGTATAGTATACGTATACAGTATTTACATACCGTCAAAGTCCACCGTACCGGAGCCGTCCGTATCGATCTCTGCGATTATTCCATCAAGATCGGAATTGGTGAGTTTATCGTCGAGCGCCGCCAGAATCTCTTTCAATGTAGCCGTTGTAATATATCCGTTACCTTCACGGTCGTACAATCGGAACGCCTCTCTCAATTCCTCCTGCATCGCCTCAGCGTCTTCCTCTTCAAGAAACCGACCGGCGATTTTACAGAAACCATCAAAATTCACTTTGCCAGAACCCTCAGGATCATTTTCCTCTATTAAAGAATTTAATTCACCATCGTCGAATAGTTGCCCCATTGTGTTTAATATCGTCGAGATCTTCATGGTTTCGATGACACCACTTTTTGTTGTATCAAACATTTGAAACGCTTTACGCATTACGGCCACTTTTTGATCATCTTCCTCCTACAGAGTATGTCCGAACGGAAAACTTTTATGTTTAAATGTTACCCGATATATTGCTCTTATTTATAATTAAAAAAAAAGACCGCAAGTGCGCACACACCAAAAGATTTAAAATATCAACATTTCTTTGCGAAGAGAGAGAGAGAGAGAAAGGGGGGGGGGGAGAGAGATCCTAAAATAACATTTTTTATTCACTGAGGGGTAAGAGAAATATCTCTTCTCTCTTATAAATAGCACCTATAGAGTTTCAAATATCATTACCCGAATAATGTGCGACATTCTTACAGTCCTTTTTTGCAAATCAATTCTTAGAAATTTACACTATTTTTTCTCTAACAAATAAAGTATCTTCCGATTTATCTTCTTACCATGGCTTTTTAATAAAGAGGCTTTTTACGCCGTATTAGGGAAACCGTGAGTGGCGTACAGACGCGGCGGACGACGGACACTTGAAGAGAATCGCTTCTTCCGTCCCGGTATAAAGACTTCCTCTCCGTCATCGTCTAAACCAGCTAGAAAGTTGGTGGACGCAAAAATAGAGTTTCGCGTAACGCCGACGAAAAATGAAATATGTTATAAGTGAGTATCGACGCCCCTTCACGTCGTTTTGTACAAAGGTCGATGCATAATATCAGCTTCGACGCGGTCGACAGATATTTTCGTTAAAGAGAAAATAGAGTTCATTGAGCGCATTATACAATGAAATACATTTTTATAATCCTCATAAAAATATCTTTATACTGTGTATATCGCGCGAGGTAGAGAGATACTGTTTTTACTATAATCTCATCTATGCTTATATAATAAGTTTTTTCGCTATTAATATCAGAGTATATGAAAATCCATCCAATTATAAAAAAGTAAAAATTGATAGCGACCGATATTTGAGATTATTTTCAAAATGCCGAACAAGCGATACGATATAGAAAAGAAACGTGTAAGATTAGCAAGTATTTATATTATTTATATGAATAAATTTATATATTATACGCGCATTAACGAAGACGCTGAAAGAGAGAGAGAGAGAGTATTAAAGCGATATTACGGTGGCTAGTCGCAATAGTTAGTTATGTAATATATTTGGCGTTAATTATATATTTTTACATGATAAAAATAAATGAATGGTGCGATGAATTTCAAGTCGTTTATACGTACTATCGATAAAAATAAAAATTGTGCCCTCGTTTGATATGTGCGCGATCCATTCCATGTAATCGTTTATTAGATGATACTCGAAACTCTTGAAATAGGGCAACGTATTACCGTTCTTAGGTTGCTGCCTACGCGTTTCGTGGCTGCAAACCATTACAACATGCCTAGCATGCAGCTAGAATGATGTAAAAATATATCCCAGACTGTTCCTCCTGGCGTAAACGATTCCACACCTTCTCGCGCATTTTCCAGCCAGGGAAAAAATAGGTCGGAGATATTCTTTTCGATTGTTCTTATTAATCACGAACAACTGGAGAAAGATTCATGTTTTAAATATTACAAAATAAATTGTATTCATCTATTATAATAAAATTATTGCGCGTGGCCTTATACCACAACCGCCACTACTATAAAATGTACACTAAATAATCTTATTGGAAATATTTTCAGTGCATCCACTCATCGAGCAAGGCAAATTCGACGGTTATTGCGTTACTGTGCCAAATTTCGCGAAGCAATTTTACTCGTGCCAGATTAACGTGTCAGAATTTCTTAATAAGGAGAGTGTAATTGCGAGAAATCGTATGACAAAACCATCTATCTTTATGTTCCTTTTTTCAACATTGGATTAATATATTAGGATATAATTTTTTTTTTCGCTTTCCTATATGTTTAACTATATTTTAATTGATGCTTTTGCTGAGTGAGCTCATTCTGAATTTTCATTATGGTTTGAATAAAATCATATTCTGAGAATTCATTAACCAATAATAAATTATCGAAATCGCACAAGTTGCTCGCCATGTATCTTTGCTTATATCATCCGTATAATAATAATAATATCATCGTAGATATTGAAATATTTTTAATCTTGTTTTTATACTCGCACTTACATAAACTCGTACGATAGAGAAAAAGATTATGGCGGAATATGTGTATACATAGTCATATCGTTAAAATCTCTCTCTCTCTTTCTCTCTTTAATAATAAATTTTTATATGTTTACGTCAAATAAAATTCATTATATAGGCAGTTATGAAAATCTTGCATATTAAACTTCCAAATAAACGAGTGCGCATTGTTATATCAATAAAATGTATGCATAAATGTTCCAATGAAGTAGAAAGAATTACCGATTACCAAAATGTACTAATTACTCTCGAAATGTATAAAGAAACAGATGCTAAGAATAAATAAGCACATGACAAAATTGGTTCTAAAATCATTTCCAGGTTACATTCCACTCTGTTTCGTAAATGCAGTTTACGAAAAATATGTAGAATTTTTTACCATATTTTAAAAAATACATTTCAATAAAGGTAGAAATAAATTAAAGATATTTATGGGCAATAGCAATCACATTTGCTTAGTGGACACATGTGAATTTGAACTTGTTAGTAAAGTACAGTGAATAAATAAAAGACACGGTAAAGTTTGTATAGAAAAAATTTTACATTTACAAAAATTGATACATCTCTCTGATAAATTTGTAGCAAAATCTTGTAGGAAAAAATTATTATCATTATATTACAATATCAAAATATTATAGATAAAATGTTCCGTTAATAAACTATAGATAAATTGTAGTACACAAGTCTTAAATAGGAGCATTTCCCTGTCAGAGAATTGTGCTTTGATGGTGCAATTCTCTATCATTGAATTAGATATAATCTTAAAAATTCCAACAACACATTATTAGATAAAAGTATGTCCCTGCTGCACCTGACAATAAACAATAAATCAATCGGACAACAATTGTTTTATATATTCAATCGTAAAATCAGAATATAAACCTCTATATCAGCCACTATCACTTATAAAAAAATCATAATTAATGATCACTTATGTGTGTGTGTGCGTGTGTGTGTATAGTATTTAAATAGGCCGGCGATTAAATATTTTCTTTCTATATATGCAAGTTTCACATAGATAAAAAAATTGATTACATAGGTTAAATCAACAAATGTATTGCATTTGTATGCATCTTCTCAGTTCGTTATTAAAAGAATATTTCAGATTATTTTTTATGATATATTGTGTGAATATGTCAGAAAATACTATACTGCTTTGTTTTCCTAGAAGAATTTAGTTATATCGCACAGAATATATTAAAAAGCTATCAGCAAAAGATTATAATTTTTTTTTGCTATATACAGGATGTCCCATTTTAATCAACCACCCCTGATAATTTCGCGAGGAAGCGGTCGAATAAAAAAATGTTTCATACAGAATAATGAGATGAATTGGTATAAAGAAAATAATAGTTTTTAAGAAAAAGTACGTAATTATTTACAATGTATTTTTTGACGCTTTTTTTTCCCCCTTTTAAATCAATTGATCCATCTCACATTATTCTATACATAAAAGTATTACATAAAAGTATCACAGTAAGATTATCGAAAAATAAATATTTTACGAGATATTTTATATATTTTATATCAAAATATATCAGATTAAGATATAAAATAACTCGAAAAATACTTAATGAAAAAATACTTTATTATAGTATTTTGAAAAGCTCTCAAGGAAAACTACATGAATATGCAATAAAAATTGAGGATCCCATTTAAAAATATCAATGTGATTTTTATATGACCTTGACAACGCTATTCAAGGTCATACTAATATTGCTATGTAATGCGCCACTTAAAATCCTACAACTTTTGTATGAAACATTTTGTTATTTGACCGCTTTTGCGAAGTTATCAGGGATGGTCGATTAAAATGGGACATCCTGTATAATATAGAAAGAATAAAAAATATGACTTAATTTTTATATATATTATAAAAATTGTAATTGACATATATATCTTACTTTGAAAATCGGCAGTTCTTTTTGCAATGCATGTAATATATATGAAAAATTAGCATAAACATTTATTTTGTCTTATATCATCTCTTTGACATAAATTTATAAACTGATAGCAAAATAATGCTATTGTTATATATCATACCATCTATATTATAGAATAATTGTTGAAAGATTATCATAATTATGGCGCAGATTCTTTAGGCCATTTTTAAGAATTGACATATCAAACATACATATATCTTCATATCAAATATAATCAAACGACAATTGCCTCGAATAGATAAGTCAATTCAAAATTGAATTCTTACAATTCTTGCAATGTTGATACTGTGAAGATCTCGACAAAACATATACAATATTGCATCAAATCAGTGTACGGTATATTGTACCGATAACAAAATTCTTCCACAAAGAAACGTTCAAAAGTATAGGAAACAACTAAACTAATAACATTATAATTGCCATTTTGCAAACCAAGTATCATTATCGGCAATATCTGTAGTACGATAGTGATATTAGTTAGAAAACGGAGTTTCCTAATTTGTCTTTCCTTCTGTTTTATCGCTAATGGAAAAAATATTGGTATTGTACCAAGAAACAATAAAAGCATACGTATCTTTTCGTCTATCTGATATACACTCAATATACCAAATGTCAGTAATGCCAAAGGAACAATTTCAATGACATTGGAAAACCAATCATAAAAGCTTCGGAAGCATCTCGCCGTAGGTGTCGACGACGAAGTAAACGGAACTCCTGAAAATGTTAAAATAATATAAGAAAATATGTAAGAAAAAAATATTGGGGTAATATACAATCGCATTAAATAGGCATTGAAAGGATACAAGATTCAATGTTATAACTGTGCTATAATTTGTGCAGAAAGTGTATGCAAACAAGTGTAATTCGATCACATGACCATACCATAAACATAAACTATTAGATCGTTATTGATTTGTTGGAACATGTAAGAAATAATAATTATATAAATGTACAAAAAAAAAAGATGGTGCTTGCCAAAACTCGCATTGGATATGAACAATACCATGAATATGTGTGCAAAAACATTCCAACAAACGTGCACATAAAAGATTGTAGGTAATTAATGCTTGTGCATACAATGTTCTAAAATGTTGCATATATGTATGTATTTTGTTTCAAATCTTAAGGTCAAGTATTTTTGAAAAAATTAAGAGAGTATTGCTCAAAAATATATCTAGACAAAATTGCGAAATAATACAAAACTCAAAATAGCTATAAGATTAAGTAACGTATGTAGGAATTTCAAAGATACAATTAAAATATATTCTTCTTGTAATAGTGTTCCTTACTTGTTCCAACGATAACAAATAATTTGTACAAATTACCGTAAATCCTTAACGTTGACAAATGGAAAACATCTTCCTCTTCCATTAGCGATTTAGACACAAAAATTAAATACCATGTGTGGCCATGTGTCATATTGTATCAATCGCTCTTTGCTGTGACACCCTTACCCCCCCTCCCCCCAAGTTATGACATGGAATCTTAGATGGTCCATACCTATAAGTTATGAAGCTTTGAACAAATAGGGTAGCGATTGAAAGAGGCAGATTATAAAGAAATGATACACGCGTACATGCACAGACACAAAGCTAATAGATATTTACAACTGAACGTGTGTAGAAAAATAACAAAATATAATATGCTAACCAGTAATATTATACATGTGTATATTAAATATAATAACCAAGTTGATTATAATACTACTCAGGATAATTACTTGAAAAAAAAAGATGAGGGAGGTAATCTAAGTAAATAAACTGAAAATAAATGAAATTAAATGAAATTAAATTAAAGAAAAACTAGATTAATTTTATGTATTTGCGTATTTTGATAGAAATAAAAGATTTTTGTTTATATAGAAAAGGTATAACGGGTAAAGGGATTATTTATAAATATGAGGCATTCGCCTTACCGAATCTGAAGATGCCCAAAATCGAGTGCATGAAGAGAATTCGAAAGGCACGCAGAGACCACGTAGTTGGCGAGGCCTTTGCCCCGTAAGGCTCTGCGAGATGCCTCATGCATATCGCGGTCACCAGCAATTTCACGAAATGCGCCACAACGCTGCTCGCGTTTACCATGATGATCACCGTTTCGAAAAAAAAAAATGAGGGAGGTAATCTAAATAAATAAACTGAAAATAAATAAAATGAAATGAAATGAAATTAAATTAAAGAAAAACTAGATTAATTTTATGCATTTGCGTATTTTGATAGAAATAAAAGATTTTTGTTTATATAGAAAAGGTATAACGGGTAAAGGGATTATTTATAAATATGAGGCATTCGCCTTACCGAATCTGAAGATGCCCAAAATCGAGTGCATGAAGAGAATTCGAAAGGCACGCAGAGACCACGTAGTTGGCGAGGCCTTTGCCCCGTAAGGCTCTGCGAGATGCCTCATGCATATCGCGGTCACCAGCAATTTCACGAAATGCGCCACAACGCTGCTCGCGTTTACCATGATGATCACCGTTTCGTTATCTCTCCAAGTAACTCGCCCAATCGAGGATAATCGACCGAATTTTCCATTCGAATCCTTGTTGATTGTTTCCGAGTGTTTTGCGTTGTCGTCGCCGTTGCCTTTTTTTCTTTTCTTCCTTTTCTTCCTTTTCCTCCTTTTCCTCCTTTTCCTCCTTTTCCTCGTCACGAGCCCTAGTCTAGCCGCGAACAAAAGTAGATACGTGTGGTAAATAATAGTGTCATTGTGAAATGGCAAACCAATTCCATATATAATACCGTGAAATATTATAACCTGCTTCTACGGAATTCTCAGAAAGATGTACGGAAACAAGAAACGAAAGCGCCACATATACTACGCAATTGTTGACCTAACTTGAGTATATTAATCATAGACATAGTATATCTAGACCGAGCGTTTGCCTTTATTTAAGGAGTGGGGGTAAAGATGCACGTAGAAAAGGACATAC